AATTCGAAAAGTCTTCTGTCCTTTCTTTAGCATCCCTATCAAATCAAGTAAATGGCTTCTCTGTGTATGAACAGTTCCAGTGATGGAGGTCTCTGTAGACCATGTATTCCATTTTCAGAAGACTCTAAGTGTTAGAAAATTCTTCCTTACGTTGAGTCAAAGCTTACTAATGTGTAGCAATGACACCTTACTTCTCGCTCTGCCTTTTACGAGGTGTAGATAATGGAAAATAATTGTAAAATCTTAAATGGTAGAGTAAGATATTCAGGGATACTAACCAAGGGTGTGAAGTAGGTCTGTGGCAGCACACATATAATATGTACCCCAAAGGAATAGGACTTTAAAAAGCCTTTAGGCATTGCATTCATCAAACAGGTATTGAGCAGCTAAGGTGGGTCAGGAACTGACTGAGAATCCAGTGACAAGACAGAGTGGCCTCATTCTTCTCAGGTTCACGGAGACATTGTGTCAAGGCCTCTGCGAGGTCAGGGCAGGAGTACTTAACCTGGCAGGTGGAGGAGGGTAAGAGGTTGGGGTCAAGAGTCAGGGGTCACGGAAAGATTCCTGGAGGTGAAAGAGCTGGCCAGTTTGACCAAGGAGGCAGAAAGAGGAGGAGCATAGACAAAAGTCCTGGAAACATGACTGAACGTGGCCTATTTGAGTAGCTGACGGCTGTTCTCTGACCAGAACATGGTGTGTGTAGTGAAGTGGCTGGAAATGAGACTGGCACAGTAGACAGGGATTGTGGTCATGAGGGGCCATGTTTGCCTCACTAGGAGTTTTGGATTACATCTTGAATTTGATGAGAAGCCGATATTCTTATAGTTCCCCACCACCCCACCCCTGCCCCCTGGTTTATAGAAGTTACACATACTCCTTTTAAAAATATTAGAACATACAGAAAACAGAAATGAAGAAATAAAAATCACCTTAATCTCACCAACCAGAAATAACCACTGTTAAAACGTTTTGGTATATTTCTAACCAAATGTGTTTCTGTGCATAGATACATACAAAAAACATGATCTTATTGCAAATAAAATTTGTTAACTTGCTTTTTCTTATGTAACATTGTGTGTCAGCACTTCCCAGGCTGTGTCATTAAAAGTTCTTTGAATACTTAATTTCTAATGACTACGTATAATACCCTGAAAGATGGCTATCCCTTATTATACTTAAATGTCTTATAATGGGTTAAATTTTAAGTTGCTTATATTTTTCACTATTACAAATAATGTGATAAACAGCTTTGTTTTTAAGTTTGTATTCATGTCTATTTGCTTGAGATGTTGTGTTCTGTCAAGTCGATTCCGACTCATAGCGACCCTATAGGACAGAGTAGGATTGCCCCATGGGGTTTTTTAGGCTGTAATTTTTACAGGAACAGATCACCAGGTCTTTTCTTCTGCAGAGCTGTTGGTGGGTTTGAACCTCCAACCTTTCAGTTATCAGCCGAGTGCTTAGCCATTGCACCACAGGGCTCCTTTTCCTTGGGATAGGTCCAGCTATGTCAGTGGTTGCCTTTTAAGCAGGGGTGTGGTGGAATCAAGTGTGTACATTTGAAAAATCGTGATGGCAGCAGTGTGAGAGGTGTAAAGAGGCGATCCAGAGGCAAGCAGGAGAATGTTAGTTGAGCAATTTAGGCAAAGTACAAGGGCATAAACTAAATTATTGGCAGCAAGCTCAGAGAAAAGGGGAGATGGCAATTATTCTTAAGGTTTTGATTGTTTCTGCAAACTTGATGAAAGCTATAGGCATTTTTTATATATTAATTCAGGGGTTTAAGGATGTCTAAGGTGTCTGTAGTGGATAGGGAAAAGGTGGAGTCTGGGTTGGGAAACTGAGAGGCTGATGGTACTTTTCCCCAAGGTAGGAAATACAGGGAGAGGAAGAGGTTTGAAGGGTTGGCTTATGAGCTCAGTATTAAGTGTATGACCTTTAAGGACACCAGGTAAAACTGTCAGGAAGGTAGTTTATAAATGAATCTAATAGCATCAGAGCAAGATGTTAAGGTAAAGGAGCCATCCCCACAAAGATAGAGGTGTTGAAATCCTGGACACAAAAGTAGTGCCAGAGATCAGGATGTTTGTGAGAAGAGGATTCGGGACATAACCCAGGCGACTGCTTACTCCTAAGTAGCAGACAATGGGGAAACCAGAGAAGGAGCTGTGTTTGAAGAAATCCAGAAGAGAGTGATACTGAGGAAGCCAAGAGAGGCAAGAGCTTCAAGGAAAAAGTCATCAAACTGTCAGATGCTGCAGAGGTCAAGCAAGAAAAGACTGGAGGGTGTCCAAGGGAGCAATTTCAGTCACCTGTAAACGTGGGAGGAGAGGACTCAGAGGAGTGGTGAGGCCGGAAGCCAGATTGTAGTGTTGGGGTCAGGAGTAAACAGAGGCGAGAGAGTAGAGCGTTCATAAGCTTTTTTCTCAAGTAGCTTGTTGTGAAGGGCTGGAAATGGCAAAGTGATAGCTGGAGGGGGACGGGGTCAGTGGAGGGTTTGCTTTTTCCTTCTTGTTTATATTAAATAAGGAAAGCTAGATTTCAAAATTGTCATATGACTTCGATTATCTTTCCAACATTTGCTATTTGCCATGTTTAGAATCCTTTCATTTGTGATTCTTTTTTTTTTTTGGACATCGTAGACTCTGTCCAGCCTTCCAACGAAAGCACTGCTGCTCAGGCTCTTAGTTAAGTTCTACTTAGACACATGGAGACCTCCATCTTTGCTTATGTAGTTTCGTTGGGTTTTAGTAAGACTCCCTTCTGGGTTTTTAAGCTTCAGCACACTAATATGTAGAATTGTAGTTTTAAAATTACAGAATATGACTTGTGTCCTTGAAGTTTGACAGTTACCTGAAGGACTGGTCAAAAATGATAAATGTTTAAATGTTGCAGTTTCTCTACTGGTTTTATTGCATTGCCAAGTGTTGAATGACAGAGAGCTTTAATTCTAATGAGCTCTAATTAGAAAGGGAGAAGAAAAAGCAAAGAGCGATGTCAACCAGAATCAGAGTGAACCAGAACAAGAAATACTTTTATTGGTTACAGAACATCAACAATGTGTGGGTTAGTCTTATTCACTTCCTTTACTAACAATACTGCAGGCTATCTCTAGTGGGTTCAGACGGTCAGTTTTATGGAACACGTAATCACTTTGATACGTGTTTTTTGTGGGTAATGTGATGTGATGCTCTGGGGCTGCAAAAAATTATTTATTTTTAAATATATGCTAAATGAGTCTTGGCTTTAAAAAACAGAACAATATGGTAAATGTTTCTAGTGTAGGAAGAAGTATATTTGTCAATGCACTGTATCCATTGGTTGCTTGCTAACAGCAAAGTAGCCTATTTTTGAGTATTGTTTCTCCCAGCACAATCAACTGATGTTGATATAAAAAATAGAGTTATCACTTCTTGAGAAGTCATTATGTTATAATTGATAGAATGACTATCTATATTAATTAAAGCTAATAGAAAAGTTATCTATATATGTGTGTATGTGTTTATACATGTGTGTGTACATATGTATTTGTGTATGTATGTCGCTATAGGTTGGAATTAACTTGACAGCAGTGGGTTTGGTTTTGGTTTTGGGTATGTATGTATGTGTGTGCGTATGTGTGTATGTACACACACACACACACACACAAACACACACACAAGATTTTGCTTTATAAAGCACCTGGTTATCTTTCTTACAAGATGAGAATTTACTGAAATTCTTGGACTTGTCTTCTCCTTTCTCTTTGCTTTCCAGTGAAGTTAAATATTGTATATATTTAACTCCTTTTGGACTTCTCTTCCTCTCCATCCAGTGTCAGACCCTTCATCCGTTCTTTTAATGGTTTTTTCACCATTATCATCACTCTCTTGTCCCCTTGACTTTTCAGTGAACCTAATCTGGTCTGCCAAGGCTCAGCCTAATCATTTGATATCTTTACTACTGCACCTGGGCTGCTGAGCCCTGCTAGCTTACTCTGACAACCATGCCAGTTGTAACCAGTTGCTGTGGAGCAGATTTCAACTCATGGTGGCCAATGTGTGTCAGAGTAGAACTGTGCTCTATAGGGTATTCAATGGCTGGTTTTTTGGAAGTAGATTTCCAGGCCTTTCTTCTGAAGCACCTGTGGGTGAACTCAATCCTCCAGCCTTTCGATTAGCAGCCAAGTGCTGTAACAGTTTGTGCCACCCAGAGATTCCATGTCAATTGTAGTCTCTATAAACTCATGGTCTCCCATTTAGTTTGGCTCTCTGGCGGCCTTAGTGATTTTTGTTTCTCTAAGTAGTTCTCCCCTTAGTGGCTTTTCTATACTTTCACCTCTGTCTTTGAACTTCTTCGCTACCACCTAATTCCTCAGTCTCAGAAGACTCCTGTGTTATTGAGGCCACCAGACAAGAACTCCTAAACTTCTACCCCCTCTTCTACCATCCTCCATCACTACCTACAGTTTTTCTCTCAACTACATCACCTTCTAGCTGCTTTCCTGTTTTTCTCCTTAACTTTGTCACCAGGCTGTTCGAAAGAGTAGTGCCTACTTGCTTACCCTCCTGCTCTTTGGCTTCCATTGGAACTGCTGTTGACAAGATTACCAGTAACCTAACTGTTAGAGCCTGTGGGATTTTTCCAGCCTTCATCTTACTTGGCCTCTCTCTTGCATTTTAACATTATTGAGCACTATGTTTAAGCATCTTCTTTGGTTTCTGTGAAAACTCCTGTCTTTTGGCTTTTCTCCCATGCTAGGTTGTCATAAAATCAAAGTTGCCATTGTTCCAAAATAGCAGGGAAAACAAAAGGAAGCATTTAATTCTTTGCAAAATGATAATATTTGGTGTGAATGTTATAATTTTGTATTAGTTATACTTTGAAAAGTATGTCATACTTTTATAACATAAATATGATATATTATAATTCAGTATTTATCATACCTAAAAAATAAAAAATATATATTAATTATTCCTTGTAAATATATATTAATTATTCCTTGTTTTCTTCTTTCCTAGTTAATGAAGGAGTTCCCACTCCTGAGCATGTTCAACATCCATGAAAACCTTTTAGAAGCCCTCCTGGAACTGCAAGCATATGCTGATGTCCAGGCAGTCTTAGCAAAGTACGATGGTAAGCCCTTGAGTATTTTTATCTACTTGAGTATTTCAGTGATTAGGTTGGAAGGCTCATTTCAAGTAGCACAGCACTTTGATAGTTATCCTGTTAAGGGTTTTCACCAATAGTTTTATGATGGCATTTTGTAGAATCTTAGAATTTCGTGGTTAGTAGGCACCAGAAATGTCATGTGGCTGTGCCATGCACATTCCACTCTCTATCCCTCCCAGCAGATCCCCTCTGCACTGTTCCTGTCAGGCAGTTACACACACTCGTTCATTACCTCCATGGTTAGGAATCATTTGGAACCTCTGCAGGCAGCACATGCCCTGCTGGGACAGCATGGACTGTTAGAGCACTTGTTGACTTGTGGCCACTGTTGTTGGTCATTGTCTCAGTTGCCTTCTACTGCCATAACAAAAATATCACAAGTGGATGGGTTTAAAGAACAGAGATTTATTTCCTCAGAGTTTTGGAGACTAGATGTTTGAATTCAGGGCATCACTCCAGGAGAAAGTCCTTCTTTATCTCTTTCAGCCTCTAGTAGCTACCTGCAGTCCTTGGTGTTCCTGGGCTTGCTGATGCCTCCATCATCACATAGCATCCATCCTGCCCTGTATAAGTTTGTTGTATCTATTCTGCTCACTTCATAAGACTCAGAAGGGATTAGGTTAGGACCAACCCTACTCCTATATGGCATCATTAACATAACAAAAGAAAGCCCCTCTTTCCAAACAGGGTCATATTCATAGGTACAGGGGTTAGGACTTCAACATAATGGTTTGGGGGACACAGTTCAATCCATAAGAGTCCTGTTGCTCCTTTGTAGGATATAGAACAGCTAGAAGCCCTTGCACACATGAGAGCCCAGAAAATATTTGACAGTAAGGTCATGTCCCCTTCACCCCGGTCTTCTCATCAGCAGAACACCCCACTTTTTCACATGGTGGGCTTTGAAGTCCCTTTGCCATTCTGGTCACTTGCCTGTGAATGCATTCCATTTTACCTGTTTTTAATAAACCAGGAAAATAAGCAGCACATCCTAAGGATTTGAGAACCCCTCTGCTGACATTGCCATTATCTATAAATATTCACACTGTAATTAATTGTACAAAAATTATCCACCTAATTATCTGCCATGACTTAGCTACTGGAATCTCTTCAGAACTTCATACTATTCTGCCTTGTTTCAATAATCCTCTCCCCAAAATAAACATATTTGCTTTTATAATGGATGTTAGGGTATAATTACTTGTGTTACATTCTTTGCTTTATAAAACATTACATCCTTTCTGTAGTAACTTCTATAGTGATTTTAAATAATTATTCAGTTCACAAATTTCTAGGAATTCATCAAACATATAGAGCAGACTATACCATTTGGAACTTATTTTTGACACACATTCTTCATAAAGAATCTCTGAAATGAGTTGGAGTTGTTATCCCCCACGGCTGGGGGAACTGAGGCATTGTAAGGCTGTTTTTGTTTTTGTTTGGTTTTAATCCTTGTTCAGATTGATGGAAACAAAAAGCCCTCTGCCAATGATGGTATGCGTTGCCTCTGCAGACATGAGCACCCTGTGTAACAAGATACATGCTACCTAGTATGGAACTCATTTTAGAAAGAGACAAAAGTATTTGTGGCACACTTTAAGGTAAACAAAATACAGGCTGTTTGGCCTTCATGTCAGCTCACTTTTATTCTCTGTTTATGCACTGGAGTCTCTGTGCGGCTGACCTTGGAGGGCCAAGCCGTGAGGCTGCTCTGTAGGCAAATGCTCATGCATTGAGGTTCTTTTGGTACCAAAGGAATCCAGACCCATACATGTGGGCACAGGTGGCCCTGCATTTTTCCAAATGCTCCCTGTAGCCGTCAATGCCATAGCTAAGTTCCAGTGTTCCCATCCCCACTGCTGACCTGTACTCCAACTGATATATCAAGGCTTAAGAAATCAAGACGTAACTAATAGAGCCTTTGGGATCACAAGTCTCATAAGGCTGCTTTCATGAAGATCTCATTTCATTATAGACATCATCAGCCTTACGTTATTAGACTGATTGTAAAACAAAGAAATGAACTCATTTGGAGCTTTCTGTTGTTTCTCTGTATCCCACTGCATAGCCTCAGTTCCACAATAACCAACAGCTGATTTATTAGATTCTGATAACATATGTTCACATTATTTGTTATAACAGCTTGTCCCACCCTCCACTAAAACTTGGCTTGCACTTTGAGAAATTCCTTTGTTGCAAATGGACAAATTCACCATACCAAGGCCCTTGTGTTGAGCTGTGTTTATGTTGTGTACCTGGCAACAGAGATGATGTTCTTGTTCATTATTCATGGAAAAAGAGCCTCATTAGTGGCAGGACACAGACTGTTGCTGAGATGCCTTGTTACAGGTTTTGAGTTCAGCAGTTGTCAATAGAGTGCAGATGACCTAACCCCAGATGAATTCCTAAGGGAATTTTGGTGCTGATTTGGCACAGGCCTGTGTCATTTACAGTAGAAATATAATGAAGTGGCTGCTGAAGTTACTGTTCTTGAGGGGCGAGCTGCAGCCACTCAAGGCTGTTGAAAAACATACCTGTTGTTCCTCACCCCAAACCAGGAAATGAGTTCTTTCAAGTTCATCCCTGCTTCCTTTCCTGGAGACCTGAAGGACCTCGACGGAGCTGCTGGGCAGCTACCTGGCCCTGTGCGAGGAAGTGGGTGCTTTAGAGCTCAGAGTACAGACAGCTCTTAGGGGCACCCTGTTCTTCCCCTCAGTTCAGATGTCATTATTCTAATCCATGAGATGCTGGAGACAGCACTTTGAATCCCAGCCTCTCCATCCCTCTCCACGGAGCCACACCCAGAGCAGAAGGATTCTATGTTATCTTTGCAAATAGGAATGCTCTGGTTGGGTAGCTGTTTCTTGGATGGTTTATGGGTACAGCAATCCTGCTTTATTACATTTGCTAGGTGGCTGGATTTCTTAAGTAGTATGTTGGGAAGTGATACAACAAAGATTAGTGTTGCTTTTTTGACTTTTGCAAAAAGGATTTTTGAAGATAGCAAGGCACAGGGGAAAAAGGGAAAGGACATTTCTGGGGAAAGGAGGGAGGCCAAATGGATTTCTCTCGCCTTCTTCTTCAAATTTTTTGCTTTGGATTTTAAGTGGAATCAGTGACATTCACAAACACTTCTCACATCGAAGCACCTTGGAAACCCTGGGTCCCTGCTAGGATTTCCGGTTAATTGGTCACACCTCCGTGTAATCTGCAGTCTGATTTTGATTTTGCCCTTGGGATGGCTTCTCACATTATATGATTCTAGCTTTTAGTCTGAAATGCTGTCTTGCGATCTCAAGAATTTTTGTACTTTTTCTGTTTGTGATTTATTAGCCAACATTATGGGTGGGCAGAGTTTTTATCCAGGTGGTTGGTCCTGGTTCTGCAGTGTTCTTCACATGATGACTAAAATAACAGCAGCAGCACCACCACCAACTAGCATTTATTGAGTTCTTACAATGTGTCAGACATGACTCCAGCCTTTACGTGGATGAGCTCATTTATCCTCACCACAAGTATATGAGATAAATACTCTAGTTATCCCCATTTTACAGCTGAGCAGAGGGAAGTAACTTGCTCAAATGAACAGCCTAAGATGTCATAGTAAAGCCATGCAGATGTTCTGTTACTGAGAGAAAAGAGATCAAGAAAAATCTTTGTTGAATATGATGTGAATTTTACGAGGGAAAAAAAGCCAAGATATAAACCAAGATAGTCTGATTCTAGGCCCATGTCTTAACCATTAGACACTGTCTCTGCAGTTGGCGGTATTTTTTTTTTTATTGTTTTTTAATACAGTTATTCTTGTTGTTGTTGTTATTAGCTACAATTTATTGAGAACCTACCATGTGCCAAGCACGTTATACACATTACCTATAACCCTCACAATAACCCTGCAAGAAGGTAGTTATCCCATCTTAGCAGATGCAGAAACTGAGGCTTTTATGGATTTAAAAAACTTGCAAGACCACCTTCCTAGAAAACTGCAGAGCTGGGATTCAAATCCAGGTCCAGCTGGCTCTAAAGCCCATGTGTTTTCTATAAACATAAGCCTGGCTAAAGTAACTCTTTCTGCCTCTTTTCACTCTCCACAGAGCATGAATCGGGTGGGCGGAAATTATTGTACAGAATTTCAGAGATGTCACATTGTCTTTTGAGATTCCTTTCTAATCATTCTTTAAGGACCGGGACTATCTCTATTGCTTGTATTTCTGAAACGTCTTCAAATATGACTTTCCATCTTCAGCTAACTTGAGCCCGATCTTGTTAGTCACAAAGAGAATTTGATGTACGTTGTTCATTTAAATTGGGCTTTGTCATCTTTTTTTTAGTTATACATTTGCTCTAAAGAGAGAAATGTTATCAAGACCATTAAGTCATCAGAACCTTTCTTTTAGAAGCCATTGGGAAAGTTGTTGCAGGCATAGGATTGCCTTTACAAGAAGTTTATAGGCCACCCACAATGAAAACATAAGTCTCAAAGATTAAGATGGTAATGTGGAAAAAAATTCATGTGTTCTTATTCCTTATCATGTGTGCTTTTCAGTTTTAGAAGAATCTCATAGAGCAAGTGAATGTGAGTGCTGCAAGGCACCTTTGGGAGCAAATAGTAATGCCTGTCTCTAGTTAGTGACCCCTGGGGATACTAACAGGCAGTCACAAGGGCTGTGATGAGTGCCAGCTCTGCCACCCACTAGCTGAGTAAGCCCAAGCCTGAGGCCATCGAGTCAATTCCGACTCATAGCGACTCTATAGGGCAGGGTAGAACTGCCCTATAGGGTTTTCAAGGAGTGGCTGGTGAATTCGAAATGCTGACCTTTTGGTTAGTAGCTGAGCTCTTAACTACTGTGCCACCAGGGCTCCAGCTGAATAAACTCAGGCAAATTACTTAACCTTCTAAATCTCGGTTCCTTTCTCTGGAAATGGAATCAAGGCTTAGAAGAATTAAGTAATTTGCCCAA